CGTAGTAGAGTGGGTGGTAGCCTCAGGCATGGCTGGGTCCAGAGGCCCAAAGGAATCCTTAGGACTTAGTCCCTCTCTTTCCATCTTTTGGTTCTACTTTCCTCTGTGTTGGCTCCATTCTCAGCAAGCTATTTCCATGTGGTGTACCCCAGCAGCTCTGGTTTCGTAATTCTTACAGCCATCAATCCTAGTAGTTCTACCACGGCACCAGAACTAAGTCCCAGTGGCCTGGCTTGCATCATATGCATATCCCTGAACCAATCACTGTGGCCATATACATAAATTATTCCAACATTCTTCTAAGTAGTTGTACATCCTAGGCTGGTGCCTCCATCACCCAGGAGCAATCATGTGGGGTGCCCTGCATGGGAATTCTCCACCCATCCTTGTGGAGCTTCTAGGGATGAGGGGTAATCAGGGCTCAGAAGAGCAGAGCTGTGTCTGAGGATGGGCAGGTTAAAGAAAATGATCTCTGCCAGCAATTTACAGATCAGAAAATCCTGTGTGTCAGAGAAACAGCTACAAGGAGACATGACATTATAAGAGTTGACAGAGGAAGGCAGAGACTGAAGGAGAAAGATACTGGGGAACATAAAGAGATAATTATAATTAGAGTGAAAGACAAGATTATGAAGGATAGACAGAGAGGGAGACACAGAGACAGCAATGAAGACCAACAAAGCTAGAGAACAGTATGCCCAGATGAATGGAGACACAATAACAGCTCCTCCTTCCACCACCCAGCGCACACACACACACACACACACTGCCAGAGAGAAATAAAAATTCAAAGAGTCTGAGAAAGACATGTCTTCTGGGTATGAGGGATTTGGGGTGGTTGATGAGAGAACCATTCATTCAGGGATGGTGGGACAGTTGTTTCTAGGGAGAAAGATTTGAGTCATGGTAAAGCCACAAATCCAGGGCGTGGATAGAACTGTGTATTCATTCATTACCTAAATATTTACTGAAACAACAAAAAGACAACCACAACCCAATTAAAAATTTTTTTCAAAACCTGAATAGATGTTTCTCCTAGAGAAGATACACAAATGACCAACAAGCACATTGAGATGCCCAACATCACTCATCATAAGAGAAATGCAAAAGAAAACACAATGAGACACCACTTCACACTCACTAGGATGGCTAGAATTTTCTTTAAAAGGAAAATAACAAGAGTTGGCAAGGATACAGAAATATTGGAACACTTGTATATTGCTGATGGGCTGTAAAATGGGGTAGCTACTAAGTATTTATAGTGGCATTATTCACAACAGCCAAAAGGTGCAGACAGTCCAAATACCTATCAAGAGTGGATAAACAAAATGTAGCGTATGCATACAATGGACATATACTCTACTATAAAAAGTAATGAAGTACTGACACATGGTTACAACGTGGATGAACCTTGAAAACATCACGTTAAGTGAAAGAAACCAGACACAAAATATTGCATTATTCCACACTAGGTAAATCTATGGAGACAGAATGCAGATTGGTGGCTGCCAGTGGCTGGAGGAGCAGGTACTGGGGAGTGATTACTTTTTGGGTATGGGGTTTTCTTTTAGGACAATAAAGATATTTTAGAAATTGATATATATAATAGTGGTTGCTTAACACTTTGAATGTACTAAATGCCACTGAATATTATGTGGTTAATATAAAAATGGTTATGTGGATTTCACTTATTTGTGCGATGTGATGGTCAGTCAGGTGAGGCCACATGAGAATAGGAGAGGCATAGGAAACAAGGTTTACTGTACTTACAGATCCTAGAGAAGAGGTCACCACCTCATGTCACACAGGGTCAGAGGACAGGCATCAGGTACTGGGCAAGCGGCAGAAGACAGGGGTGAGAAAAGAACTTTTGCCATGGTCTTTCTTGAAGCAGGAAAGGCAAGGTCGGGCAGGGTAATCAGTTCAGGATTGGCTTGTTTGAGTAATTCGGGTGGGCTCTACGTTATAGGAGTGGTCCCCAGATGCCTGGTACCTGGACCTTGGATCTGGAATCCGGACTTGCGATGATTAAGGCATTGGAATATTGCCCTCTGGGGTGCACAGGCCCGAGAGAGGAGGTAAGGCTCTGGATTGGTTGGTTTGCAAATCATAGGCATGCTCCAGGCTGAGTCCTTTGCCATCTCAAAGAATTGGCCAGCCCTGGGAGGGGTAGTCTACCCAAGCCAGAAAGGAATGTTCAAAAATGATGTCAAAATGTCATAATATACAGAAAGTTAAAATATATAGCCAATAACACACTGAAAGAGAGAGGGAGAGAGAACCAACTGTTCTAGATCCTGGGAACACAGCACTGAACCTAGAGTCCCTGCTCTTTTGGAGCTCACCTCTCGTGGTGGGGGAAACAGAAAACAGAGAGGTAAGATAACCTTGGTAGGGATGAGGACTGAAATAGGAAAGCAGAGTCAGGAGCTAGAGTATACAGTAGTGGGAGGGAAAGCTATTTCAATAAGGTGGTCAAATCAAAGGAGGCCTCCCTGGAAGGAACATGGAGCAGAGACAAACCTGAATGGAGTGAGGGCTCCACCTGCAAGAAGACAATCCAAGGAAAGGTGGCAGCAAGAGCAAAGCACTGCGATGGGAGGGTGCTGGGGTTTTTTTGATATTAGCAGAGCCACCAGGGAGGTCATTGAGAGAGTGAGATGGGCAAGGCCAGACTGTGTGGGCTTATGTAGTCCCCAGGTGGGTGGGGGCATTTTGGAATTGGTCTAAATTGAATGAGAATGCTCTTGGATTGGAAGAATTAACATTGTTAAAATGGCCATGCTACCCAAAACAATCTACAGATTTAACTCAATCCCTATCAAATTACCCATGACATTTTTCACAGAACTAGAGCAAATAGTCCTAAAATTTATATGGAACTATAAAAGACCCAGGATTGCCAAAGCAATCCTGAGGAAAAAGAACAAAGCAGGAAGCATAACCCTGCTACACTTCAAACAATACTACAAAACTACAATAATCAAAACAACATGGGGACTTCCTTGGCAGTCCAGTGGTTAAGACTTGGCTTCCAATGCCGAGAGTGTGGGTTTGATCCCTGGTCGGGGAGCAAAGATCCCACGTGCCTCGCAGCCAAAAACCAAAACATAAAACAGAAGCAATACTGTAACAAATTCAATAAAGACTTTAAAAATGGTTCACATATGGGAAAAAAAATCTTAAAAAAACCCCCGAAAAACCCATGGTATAGGAACAAAAACAGACATATGGATCATAGGAACATAATAGAGAGCCCAGAAAGAAACCTGTACACCTACAGTCAATTAAATTTCAACAAAGGAGGCAAGAATATATAATGAGGAAAAGACAGTCTCTTCAGCAAGTGGTGCTGGAAAAGTTGGGCAGCCCCATGTAAATCTGTAATAAAATAACTGAGGACATAAAAAAAAACGTAACCAAAAAAAAAAAAAAAAAAACGTAACCCATGAGCCCCCCCCAACAAACTGGGGGCTAACAAATAAGCCAGAGCTATAAACAGTCCTAAATGCTTTGAGCACCCCCCGACAAACCAGGGGCCTACAAAAAAGCACTGAGTGCTTTGGACACTGATCCATAAAATGTCTTCAGTATAATCAAAATAGTGAGAACACAAGGAAATGTCCTTGTGCTACTTCAGTATAATCAAAATAATGGTGAAACTTTGTGCTGCTTTTGCGCTCAAGGACAAAACACGGCATGTTTTCAAGAAAGCCAATTATTGCTTGTATAATTAATAAAAACATAGGTTGCTGCTTTGGCATTTCTAAAATGTTAAAAAAACAAGTCTTAAAATGTAAACCTAAATAATACTTTAATAAAAACTACCACAACAGGACAGACGGCGCCGTTTTGCCTGAGCGAACGACAGGCCTCTACTGCTGTGCTTCGGCACAATTCATCTTGTGTGATGAGCTTACTTTCGGCCCTGTCATAAGATAAACTACAACATTTGGCGCCCGAACAGGGACTTAAAGGTAAGTAATCGCATAATCGCGAGACAGAAGGAAAAACTGGTCCGCTCAGAGTAAGCGAAACCTTCGACAACAGTAGAGTAACTGTAATAGGGAATTCCCATTCAATAAAATTTCAATACATTAGACTCCTAAAACAGTTATTAAGGAGTTCAGGAGTAAAAGTAAAACCAAAATCTTTTGATAAATTGTTTGCGCTGGTACGTAAACATTGTTACTGGTTTCAATCTACTGGTCATAACCAGTTGAATTTAAAAGTTTAAAAACAGGTTATGCGAGCCTTAAAAAGAGCTCATCAACATGGAAACCCTATATCTGTCCGTATTTGGTCTCTTTGTAAATTAATTTCCCTTGCCCTAAAACCATTACAATCTAAAACTAAAAGTGACAATGGGGCACGCCCTCAGCGTCCGAATTCTGCTCCCGATCATTCTGCTGCTTTTCGTACTCTATTTCATGAGTCTCCTATAGAGGACCTTCCTCCGCCTCCTCCTCCCCTTGTGTCTGAGACAGGAAAGGATTTTTTGGATTCCAATGATAAAGGGGCTTTTTCTGATGATGATAAAGGTTAAGAACAGACTAACAAACAAAATGAGATGCCACTTTCTCAACAAAATGAAATTTCTGATATACTTTCAAAGTTAAAAAATTTGATGGTTAAATTAAAAAAAAAAAAAAACAATGCTACCACTCCTTTATATCAGGAGCCATGTCCTACTATTCCTCCGGCTCCTCCTTTAGAATTAACAGCTTATACTGTTGGAACCTCTCGTCAGTTTCGCTTTCCTCTAAAACCTGAATCTAATAAAATATTGTTAAAAGAATAGATAAATAAAAAAAAACAATATTCTGAACCATTTTTTGCTTTCCCTATTGTTAGACAAGCTATGCCTACTAATAATCAATTTCCAAATGAATATATAAACGTTGAGTATAACCCTCATGATGTAAAAATTTTTAAAATACTAAAAAGAGCCATTAATACATATGGGATACATTCTAATTACGTTCAAGGTCTTTTGTCTAGGTATGCTTCCAAAAACATATTAATTCCTCAAGATTGGGAGGCGCTTGCCAAGACTGTTACTTGGTGAAAAGAAGAAGACACCTCCATTGACCTGGGGGCAAATAAAAAAGTTTACAGACACTGCCAAAAATCTTGTCATTTCACAGGGTAAACCTCTCACTAACACCAATCTTTTTGTAGCCATGTTGACAATGCTGTCTGCACAGGTAACAAACATATCAGCCAATGAGATAAATTGTACTAACCATACTTATTGGACTTATATTCCTAACCCTCCTCTTAATATGGGGGGTACCTGATGGGATGCCCCAATTCTTGTATATGTAAATGAGTGTGGATGGTTGCCTGGTCCTTTTAATGATAGAGGCCCTTTAAAGCCAATAATAATAATAATAATAATAATAATAAATTACATGGTGGGTGTTAATAAATCTCCTATTTATATGGAAAAGGGAGATCATTACCTTAAAATAAATTATCAAGCATGGTTAAATGTTGTCAAAAATAAAAGTAGATATCATGGGTTATATCTTTTAAATGCTTAGTTTTAAAAGTTCTAATTCCACTCTTAATAAAAATGTTTCCACACCTTACTTGCCTCCATGCCAGATGCCTCTTGTAGATCGATTATCGGATTGGGTCCATTGGACTCGATGCCAAGGAGAAATGGCTCGGGTTCTTGTTAATACTTCTTAGAAAACCGTCATTGATTAAAGCCCTTTTGGCTCCGCCCAAAAAAAAAGGGGTCTAAAAAATTTACACTGACATAGAGATGATAACACTATTTATAACAATACTATTAATGATACCATAGTATGACACGCAGGAGGGTTTTCTCCTCCTGGTCCTCATTTAAATGGATATCCTATCCAAAAAAATCTATAAAAGCTTATGACAGCTTTAAAAAAGATTAATACTTGGGTAAAACATATGGATAACAAATCTAAAAATTATAGTTTGACTTTTCATAAAAATGTTACTCGATATACTCATAGTTATGTAAAATTACCTTATATATTGTTAAAAGAACCAACTATATAAAATGAGACTCAAGATATTATAATATGTAAAAATTACTCTCTGTATACCTACATTAACTCTAGTATATCTTTTAACAAATCTACTAAAAGTTTGTATATCTTACGAGCTCGGACAGGTCTTTGGCTTCCTGTCAATCTTAGAAGGGAATGATAAAAATCTCTTCCTATGGCTGTTTTACAGTATTTAGCTGATACATTAAAAAAAGGTAAAAGATTTATAAAAATGTTGATTACAGCTGTCATGGGTATTATAGCCATAACAGCTACTGCTACAGTAGCTGGAGTTGCTTTAAAACAATCTATTCAGACCATTAATTATATAACTGATTGAAATAAAAATTCTAAAATACTTTGGTCTTCTCAACGACAAATTGATTCAAAAATACATTCAAAAATAACAGACTTACACCAAGCTATGGTTATGTTGGGGGATCAACTTGTAAATTTACAAAGACAAATAAAGCTACGTTATAACTAGAATCAAAGTGCCTTATGTGTCACTTCGGTTCCATATAATCAGTCTACATTCCCCTGGACAAAAATAAAAAACCATTTATTACATCACAAAAATTTAACAAAAAAAATCGTAAATTTACAAGAAAAAATTCAACAAACTTTTAAAAAAAAATTACGACTTAATTCACAAAAAGTATGAACTAAAATTATTCAAAAACTTAATAATCTAAATCCCATGTCTAAATTACATGTTTTATTTGGTTCTACTACAAAATTACTAATACTCATTATAATAATAATCATATATTTAATTATAGTCCAACGACAAATAAAAACTACCCGTCACACAACATTACAACAAACTACTGTGTTTTCCTTAATACTACACAAACTACAAAATAATTCCACGTAGTTTAACACTGGGAGTAATGCTGCCACGTTCTCCTTGATACTACAAAAATTACAAAACAAAAAGGGGGAAATATAATAAAATAACTGAGGACATAAAAAGAAAATGTAACCCATGAGCCCCCCCCACCAACAAACTGGGGGCTAATAAGCCAGAGCTATAAACAGTCCTAAATGCTTTGAGCACCCCCCAACAAACTGGGGGCCTACAAAAAAACATTAAGTGCTTTGGACACTAATCCATAAAATGTCTTCAGTATAATCAAAATAATAAAAACACAAGGAAATGTCCTTGTGCTACTTCAGTATAATCAAAATAATGGTGAAAACTTTATACTGCTTTTGCACTCAAGGACAAAACACAACATGTTTTCAAAAAAGCCAATTCTTACTTGTATAATTAATAAAAACATAGGTTACTGCTTTGACATTTCTAAAATGTTAAAAAAACAAGTCTTAAAATGTAAACCTAGATAATACTTTAATAAAAACTACCACAACAAGACAGACGGCGCTGTTTTGCCTGAGCAAACGACAGCTCTCTACTACTGTACTTCGACACAATTCATCTCATGTGATAAGCTTACTTTCGGCCCTGTCATAAAATAAACTACAACATAAATCAATAAAGTTAGAACACACCCTCACACCATACACAAAAATTAACTCCAAATGGCTTAAAGACTTAAATATAAGATGCGACACCATAAAACTCCTAGAATGGAACATAGGTAAAACATTCTCTGTACCAGTGTTTTCTTAAGTCAGTTTCCCCAGGCAATAAAAATAAAAGCAAAAATAAACAAATGGGACCTAATCAAACTTACAAGCTTTTGCACAGCAAAGGAAACCATGAGCAAAATGAAAACACAACCATACACCACACTATGAAGGAGTTTCCCTGGAGCTGGCTGACTTGGAAGCTGGGCAACTTCATGTCTCCTACCCATGGCAGACATTACTAATCAACCACAGACCCCAGTCATCCAGCACCTGGCTCTTAGAATCCTCCTTTATATGCGACCCCAGACAACCTCAGAGCTGACCTCTGCCATCATTTACCTTGACCCTTCACTGAGACAGTGACCTACTGAAGATTGTCTGAGATCTTGTGACACAGTGTTGGACCACACCCGATCAATTCTTTATTGGGAAGGGGATGCAGTCTGTAATCCAACAGACCTGTGACCCTAGAAAGATCTCAAGCTCAAGTCCTAGTTGGCTTGCTGTGAGTTCATAGCTGCCCCTGAAAAAGCCACGGGTGGCAATTATGCCAGCGCCAACAGACCTGGATAATGTGGGCAGCATGGAGCAAACGGCAATAACGAAGGCGGATGCGCTACATGCGGACACAAGACTGTAGCCTGACCACTGCCCATTTTTGCTGAGCATAATGATCCAGCACAGCCCGCCGCTTCTTCTCCAGCAGCTCTGCCAGCTTCTGTTTCCACCAGTACATGCTCTGAGGGCCGCGTGCAGCAGCGTCCGGCGCACCAGGGTGCCCCGCCACCAGGCCTGGATCTTTATTGCTTGCAACTCTTTGTCAGAGGGGGGCGCTTCCACTAGGGGGTGGGGCTGCAAGGAAAAAGAAGGGACATTCAGGAAACATTCCCAACCCACCTGAGCCCTGGTGTAGCCAGGAAGGGGTCCTGATCCTTTATCAACAATGGCACCTTCCTCAGAAGTTTGTGAGTACTGGGCAGACCACTGGCTGCAGCCAGAGACCAGACAGGTGTCCCGTCTCTGCCACTCTTGGTTAACAGACACATCACAGTTGAACTCTGAGTCTCAGGGTCCTCAACTGTAACATGGGGCACACCTTCCCTAGCTGTCACCTGGTTCCTTGGACCTGGTTGGCCAGTCTAGAACAAGAACACCACGATCTATCGGTCAAAGGGTTATTCTGTTTGGCCTGGGCCTGACCACCTACCTGGGAAGCATATCACTTCCCTTCAGACCTCACCCACAGGCTAGAAAAGGGGCATCCTTTGCTCTCCTTTCATGCCTGACTCCAGCTCCAGTGCACAACCTGCTGTCTCCCTCTGTCAGCTCACAGGATTAGAAGTTTGTGACTTCCTTGGTGGCACAGTGGTTAAGAATCCACCTGCGAATGCAGGGGACACGGGTTCGAGCCCTGGTCCGGAAAGATCCAACATGCCATGGAGCAACTAAGCCTGTGTGCGACAACTACTGAGCCTGCACTCTAGAGCCCATGCTCCGCAATGAGAGAAGCAACCACAATGAGAAGCCTGCACACCGCAACGAAGAGTAGCCCCCACTTGCCGCACCTAGAGAAAGCCCACACGCAGCAACAAAGACCCAACTCTGCCAAAAATAAATAAGTAAATTTATTTAAAAAAAAGAATTCTCTAATTTGTTTGAGTGACTACTGTCTAGGTTTCTTTCCAATTTGGATTCCTTTAATTTATTTTCCTTATCTGATTGCCATGGCTAGGACTTGCAATACTCTGTTGAATAAAAGTGGCGAGAGTGGGCATCCTTGTCTTGCTCCTGATATCAGAGGAGCAAGTGTATCCCTTGTATTTGTGTATCCCTTAACTACCTATTGTGGATATAGATGGTTTTACTACTTTTGTCTTTTAACCTTCCTACTAGCTCTGTACGTGGTTGATCTACTACTTTTACTATATGTTTACCTTTACCAATGAGATTTTTCTTTCGTAATTTTCATATTTCTAGTTGTGGCCTTTTCTTTTCCACTTTGAGAAGTTCCTTTTACATTTCTTGTAAAGCCGGTTTAGTGGTGCTGAATTCTTTTTGCTTTTGCTTATCTGTAAAACTCTTTCTCTCCTTCAAATCTGAAGGATAGCCTTGCTGGGTACAGCATTCTTGGTGGTAAGATTTTTTTTTTCTTTCTTTCATCACATTGAATATATTGTGCTACTACTCCCTTCTGTCCTTCAGAGTTTCTGCTGAAAAGTCAGTTGATAGTCTTATGGGAGTTCCCTTGTATGTAACTAGTAGCTTTCTCTTGCTGCTGTTGAGATTCTCTCCTTATATTTAATTTTTGCCATTTTAATTATAATGTGTCTTGGTGTGAACATTTTAGGGTTCATCTTGTTTGGGACTCTCTGTACTTCTTGGACCTGGCTGTCTGTTTCCTTTCACAAGATAGGGGAATTTTCAGCTAGTATTTCTTCAAATAAGTTCTCTGCCCTTTTCTCTTTCTTCTCCTTCCAGGATCCCTATAACGTGAATGTTGGTATGCTTAATGTTGTCCCAGAGGTCTCTTAAAAGTATCCTTGTTTTTTAAAAATTCTTTTTTTTTTTTTTTTAGTCTCACAAGGATTATTTTCACTAATCTGTTTCCAGTTTTCTGATCCATTCCTCTGTATCATTAATCTACTGTTGATACCTCTAGTGTATTTTTCATTTCAGTTACTGTATTCTTCAGCTCTGTTTGTTTCTTCTTTATATTTTCTAACTTTTTGTTGAAATTCTAACTGTGCCTATCTACATGGTCCGAGGGGGCTGGGTTCCTGGTGCTAACAGGCTAGAGAAAGGATTCCAAAATGACACTTACCAATGCAGGTATTATCGTGGTAGAATTAGCTCCCCAAATTGGCTGCTGCCAGCATCTCCATCCACAAGAAGATCCCTAGTTGCATCCTGCCCCTCCAAGAGGCTCTACAAAATCAGCAAGTGGGTCTGAACCAGGCTCTTTTCAAACTACTGCTTCTGTACCTGGACTTGGAATGTTTGAGATTTTGCATTCACCCTTTTAAGAGTGAAGTTTCTGTTTCCTATAGACCTCTGGCTCTCCCCAGAATAAGCCCCACTGATTTTCAAAGCCAGACGTTCTGGGAGCTCATCTTCCCAGTGCAGGGTCCCTGGTCTGCAGAGCCTAATGTAGGGCTGAGACTCCTTGATCCTTGGGGAGGACCTCTACAGTTGTGATATTTCTTCCATTTGTGAGTCACCTTCCCAGGGGTTTGGGTTCTGACTACACTGCATTTCTAGCCCCCTGCCCATTTTGTTGTGGTTTCCCTTTTATGTCTTTAGTTGTGGAAAATTTTTTCTGCTAGTTTTTAGGTCATTCTCATAGATAGTTTCTCTGTAAGTAGTTGTAATTTTGGTGTGCCTGTGGTAGGAGGTGAGTTCAGGGTCTTCCTATTCTGCTATCTTGGCCTCCACCCACCCCTCAGGTTTTAATATTGATAACTATGTTGTTCCTCTCTAAGATCCATAAGTGGCTCTTTCAAATAATGTGTTGTTCTTTTTTTAAGGCTAAGTGGTCTTCTGTGAAAAATATTAACTTTATTTCTTTAAATTGTCTTCTTAAATCTTCCCTTTAGCTATTGTGTTTCTGCTTGTTGGGTTTAGGGAGGCTTTTTCATGCTGCTGGTTTCCCCTAAAGTTTGATGACTCCTGGTTGCGCACTCATCTTTGTTCTGAGATTCCCTTTAGCCTGTCGATGAATGCTTAGTCCCTGACTCCACAGATTACATGGGCGGTGTGGGATAAACTGTTGGGGTGAGGTGTCAGTAGGTGGTCACCTGGGCAGGAGTCTTCCTGTACAAGAGAGTCACACAGTAGCAGGCCCTGCCTCTCCTTCCCAAGCCAGTCACAGTTCCTCCCTGAAGACAAGCCCTCTCTTGCCAACCGCATGACTCAACTGTAAAGGTGGCTCCTCCTCCTACAGATACATTCTAACTAGTCCCTGTGGTAGCCCACAACCTCTGCTGCCCCCTGCACGAGGTACCTCCTAGCTTGAAGGGACTGCATGGCTCTGTACTTTTGTATGAGACCTTTCTAGAGCTTTGATTCATTTTCTTTCAGTCTTTTCATATCTGCCTCTGTCCTTTAAAGCAGCAGTCCCTAACCTTTTTGGCACCAGGTACCAGTTTCGTGGAAGACAATTCTTCCACAGACGGGGGGGGGTTGGGGAGGGATGGTTCAGGAGGTAACGCAAGCGATGGGGAGCAGCAGATGAAGCTTCGCTCACTCACCCACTACTGACCTGCTGTGTGGCCCATTTCCTAACAGGCCATGGACCGCTACTGGTCTGCCGCCTGGGGGTCAGGGACCCCTGCTTTAAAGTGTCCATATAATTTCTGTCCACTGAAGATCTCTTCCTATTTTTTTAAGATACTATTAGAGATTTTTTTTTTTTTTGCGGTACGCGGGTCTCTCACTGTCGTGGCCTCTCCCGTTGCGGAGCACAGGCTCCGGACGTGCAGGCTCAGCGGCCATGGCTCACAGGCCCAGCCGCTCCACGGCATGTGGGATCCTCCCAGACCGGGGCACGATCCTGTGTCCCCTGCATCGGC